AGTTAATTAGTCGTACGGTAGGTGGTCGACTACCTACGTAGTGGTCGTTCGTTCGTACGAGTAAATAAGTTACTTACTTAGTATAACTAAAGAAGTTATTACATATATATATATATATATACACACACACACACACACACACACACACACACACACACACACAAACAGTTAAGAAGTATATGGATAACACAAGTTTCATTCTGCTTAGCCAACAACCTAATAAGTACATTTTTTATGCATTTTATATATGATTATTAGAAATTAGTAGTTGTACTCTTAATATTTAAAACTGAAGTTCTCACACAGTGAATTGTTTTATAGGTATACTCAGTACACTCCATACCAAGCTGAAATAGCTCAAGGAAGACTAGAGAGCTTGTTGAATTATCAAACAATGATAGCTGACTTGACTGGTCTGGACATTGCAAATGCTTCTTTATTAGATGAAGGAACGGCAGCAGCAGAAGCTATGGGTGTTTGTTACAGGTAATATTTCTCATTATGAAATTCATTAAAATTTGGAGAAACTAAATGTAATGGGAACATATTTTTTTCACCAAACCTCTATGTTAAGAAGCATTGCGATATTAAGCTAAATGATCAAGCTATATGATAAACTGATTATTTAAGAAGAACTGATCAGTAGTTATGTGTAATCAGATTTATATTTTTTTGTATTTGTAGTATTTAGAAATGTTATAAAAATTAATAAACTAAGCATAAAAGCAAACTTTATAATTCAAGTTTTTTATATTATCTAAGTTTTAATTTCATAATTTAAAAATGAAATATTTAAGTTGTCAGACTTCATTTTTTTGTGTCACATGATTTGTGTGCACTTAAATTCTCCAATTCTGATTTTTATAACTTCATTAGTTGGTTTCTACCATTTCCAATGAATTAGAAACACAAACTTTCATAATTACAAGCAAGAATATAAACTTTGAATGTCCTACGTTCTTTGCTTGTTGAACTATAAATAAATTTGTCAAACCCACCATAGAAGCCTTTCCTATCTCTCTCTCTGTCTCTTGAGTTTGATTGCTAATGAACTTTACATTACTAATGGACATATTCATAAGGGATAGGAAGAGCAGGTTCTCTTCTACATAAAGTTTAATACATTTATTTCATCTTGACTCGTATATAGTCAGGTGTAGTTTCTTTGTCTGTAATGATTGTTATCCTACTCTGAACAGCTGACAGAATTTTTTAATATATTTATAGCTTAGAAAGGGATATAAATATCCCAAAACTATATATTTTTATGTTCTAAGATGCATATTTGAAAGCTACACAATTTTATTTTTTTGGACAATCAAGTTAATGTTTTGTGTTTTTTTTGACGAAGGGATAAACTGCCCATGTGGTGCATATCCATAAAATTAAAAGTAAACAGACTGAAAAAATTAACAGCTTAAATTAGGAAAAACAATATGAAAATCTCAAGACAGTTATGCATTCAAAGAAGAATAAAAAAAACAGATATTATTCATGTTATTTCTTATCTAATCAAAAACACCTTAGGTGTGAAAAAACGGTGTTGCCAAAAAAGGATTGAGCAAGGAACCTGAAGGAATGAAATCAAAATTGGCAGCCAAACTGGTAGCGACATTTATAGCATTTATAAGAATTTTACAAAAAATATTCATTCATTTGTTTGACAGGCAGTGTTTTTTGATCAACTTGGGGCATGTTTCTGAGTAGTATGTCATGAGGTTTTAGTGAGTTACATTCAAAATTTAATTAAACTACTTTCTTTTCATGGTATACCAATAAATATAGCATAAAAACATGGCTAATAATCCATATTTTAATAGTATATAAGTTTTAAGTTCTTAATTTTATAAGGCAATATTTAAAAAAAATCTAGAATTTCCCCTTGTATGAGAATTGTGATATTTACTTTCTAGTTATGATCTCTTCTTTGATTTGTTTACCACCCTTTCAAGAAGTTCGAAATTTATAAGATTGTCATTGGTCAGACAATGAATAACTTCTATAGTCTTCAATATTATTTGGTTACAGAGCTATGAAATAGACAGCTGGACCCTCCCGCCCTCTCTTTCAGAAACTGTCAATAGTTCTCTGACGTTTAATACTATATTATTTATAACTATTTGGAAGCCAAGATTTTCATCTATCAAATGATGTATTATATTACATTATTTCCTGAACAGATAATTGTCAATTTCTCTTCCATTTCAACCTTTATTCCCAAGGGAAACACATCAACAAGTTTAGCTGAGTTCCTAATAGCTCTTGTCACATAGTTAGAAAGCCAGAAAAATTGTGATAGTTGTGGGACTTTGTCTGCTTTGTGCACTTTATATTATTTGTTCTTTGGTACATTATTTAATTATATAAAATTTACTTCACTACTACCATTAGTATAAAAAGTAGGGTTAAGTGTCATCAACAGTAGACAGCAACAACAACAACAACAACAACAAAAAAGACCCAGGTAAGTACTTTTTATCTTGTCTTTCATGTGGGTTCTTTATTTATTATTATAAAAGTAACTAAAATGTAAAAAAATAGGAAACTTTTTATGTTTGTTAAGATTAGTTAGGTGAAATAAATAATAATATAATAAAATGTTTTTCATAACATGCTTGGCAGTAGTTCATGCATAATGTGAACTGCACATTTGCCATGTTATTTACTACGTATAGAGGTGCAAGTAGTAATTAAATAAGGTTCAAAGGGCACTAAAACAATAACATTTAAGTGTAAATAGATGTATACTGTTATGAGAGCTATTTAGTATAAAGAAATGTAGTTTCATATTACAATTTGAAATCATTCCTAAAGGCAAAAAGGGTAATTTGGATTTATTAAAATTTTTTTTGGTGGTTACAAGGTGGTCAGTAAAATTGACCAACCTTGTATAAAGTTGGGGTAGAGAAAATAACAGATAAAATATAAAGTTTTACCCAAAAGAAACGTTAAAATTTATTGAGGAGGTTTTAGAAATTATACAAATAAAATTTGAGATTTTTGAAACAAGGAAAAGTATTTTTAACATTTACATGAAAATCACTTAACTTTCAGACTAATATATAGACATACTATCTATATACATGGACAAATCTTTAGTAAAAATACTTCATTAAAAAGTCTGATTTTTTTGCATACAAAAGGCTTGTAATACTCAATTAAAAGTCTGCCAAAATTTGTGAGGATACACATATTGTATTATAGTATGAAAACTATAACAAGCACAAAATGGTTAGAGTTTAGTTGTTCAGACCGAGCTTATAGTGTGAGAGTTAAATTCAGAGCTCTAGTATATTTATAGTTTCAACAATCTTGGGGTTGGCCCAGTGGTCTGAGCAGTATGCATAAGTTCAAGAAAGATAAGGCTTTTAAGCAAAATGTAGTATATGCTCACTTTCTTTTATGTTGATTTTCAGGTTTGATGAAATAATACACACACATACACATTGGGAAGAATAAAAGGAAAAGATTAAGATTGAATAACCCCTATGATCAAAGTACATTTGCAACAATTTATATTAGCCAAGTGCTTTAAGTTGTTCATAAAATGAATATAAAAGTAAGGGGTTATAAGTAAGGGAATATAAAAGTAAGTAACATTCTTTGTTACAAAATGTGTTGATACCACCATGAGGAATTTGAAAAATGCTAATGGTGGTTTGAAAGATAACTTAAAACTCTCTTTGAAGGGCAGGGATATTTTTCATATGAATAAAATGTCCAGAAAGTCACCATTAGAAACTGCAGTAAAATTTATTTACCAAATGCAGACAGCCTTGTGAATTAGTTATTTATTCTAGGGTGTATGTAATCTGGAATGTGAAAATATAGTGTTTTGTTTCATTTTTGTAAGGTGTGAACTTGTGTACTTGATATGTCTTTTTTTTTAATTTTGTTTGCTTTTCAGACAGACTAAAAGAAACAAGTTTTACTGTTCTGAGAAGGTGCATCCACAGACTCTAGCTGTTGTACAGACACGCGCAAGGTAAGTTTACCATTATGTGAAAAGGTAGTGTTTGAATAGGTAACAAAAATCCTAATCAACTATCTGGATGGGTAATTCGAGTAGGTATCTGGGTACCCTAAAATTTTTCACCACTATTAACGCAACAGTTTCTAACTTGCAGAAGACCAGACAATATGACCCATGATGCCACACAGTTTAAATTTGCTTCATGAGCAGTGTTGTCTTTATTTTTCCAGCAAAAGCATATCTAAAACTGCTAATAATAAAAAATTATGAATGTTTGGATGTAAAAGTAAAAGAAAACAGTAAATGATAGATTTATAAATGAAAGATGAAAATGATATTACTCCAAAACTTTGTGTCCATCATGCATACTATAGCATTAGCCTGCAAAGTATAGGCTCCTGTATGTATTCTCACTATTCTGCAGGAGATACTGAAACATTCAAACAAAGATCTCTCAATTTTTTTCACTTTTCACCAATTAGTATTGAGCATCAATTTAGTAGATACTATTTACTTGTTGATATTGGTAAATGTTAACAAAACAAAGTAATCTTTAATGGTTCACCCTGGCTGACCATCATTACACAGTACCCATGCTGTGCAGGCACTATTTGTACATGACAATGACACTTAAGTTGTACATATTTACTGTTAAGTATGGATGTTACGGCACTTACAGCTACCTGTCATTATTACACATATTGAAAGATTACAAGACTGCTGAGTGTGCCTGCACTATCAGAAAAGTTAGCACTATCGATGGGCAGAGCTTACCTCAGATATTTCAGTGACAAAACTTTGATATTTCCCTATTAAGATTAGTGTGTGAGTTTCTCACTTAAATGAGAGTGAACTGAAACAACGACTGCAGCAATGATCGCTTGTATCCTTATACCTCGAATTACGATGAGCAGCAGCTAACTATAGTTGAAACAAGTTAAAATAGTCATACAAAAGTGTAGAAACTTTTGGAAGATCATATTTATATTGATACAATAATTTACAATATTTACTATTACAAATCACACAGTCATCAGGTTTGAAAGTTTCCAGTCAGTGATAGGCCTCATTTCTGTTCTAGAAAGTCAATTGTGCCACACTACAAAATGGTGATAACCACAAACTGACTGCATGTGGTGAATTGCCTGATAATTGTTTAACAAAGTAAAATTTTAAATAGATTATTCAAAATTTGTTGCCAGTAGAAGAGGTTAAAATTAGTATGGTATAAGCAAATTTTGGGCCCGGTTAGGGCGCTCGACTCGTATTCTAAGGGTCGCGGGTTCGATTCCCCATCACACCAAACATGGCAACCTCCGCCTTTATCTGGTCCCAAGTCCAGGATGAGAAAGGGGGAGGGTTGGGCGCGGGGCTTGCAACTCCACTCCGTAAAAAACAACAAGTAACTGCAACAACACTTTCCGTTGGCAAGGTGTTGTTGTGGCCCTATGCTCCACTGGGAGTTTACAGGAATATATATATATATATAAAATAAAAAAAAAAAAAAAAAGGAAGCAAATTTTGAAAGTATAATGAATGGTTGAATAACTTCATTTATAAGGTACTTGAGGATTTTTGTACACTGTTAACCCTATCGAGATAAGTAAGGGTCAGAGGGCATGTTATCACGTTTGTAGATTTATATTCAACATTTTATTTAGCTATTATTTTATAAATGTATGTCAAGTTTGGTATCAAATTACAGATTATAATTCAAATTTTAGTATTGTACATTAGTTAGTTTATTAATTTGAAACTAAATATTAAAAAAAGGCTAAATATTAACTTTTGTGTCATGCGGTATGTGGCCTTCTGGGTTTGGTCAGATTACATTTTATGATGCTCACAATACAACATCTGTAATTTCGTACGAATTAGTAATCAAATGTCAGATGTTAGCAAGCTAGAATATAAAATAAGAACTTCCTGCCTTTACTATTTGCTGAGATATGATATTTAATGAATGTTTGTAGATTTACATTCAACATTTATTTAGCTATTATTTTATAAACGTATGTCAATAAGTTTGGTTTGTTTGTTTTTGAATTTCGTGCAAAGCTACACGAGGGCTATCTGCAATGTAAGACTAGAGGGAAGGCAGCTAGTCACCATCACCCACTACCAACTCTTGGTCTACTCTTTTACCAACAAATAGTGGGATTGATCATCACATTATAATGCACTCATGGCTGAAAGGGTGAGCATGTTTGGTGGGACAGAGATTCGAACCCGTGAGTCAAGCCTCCTAACCACCTGGCCATGTTGGGCCCAATAAATTTGGTATCAATTAGTTCCTTAATTTGAAATTAAATATATATATATATATATATATATATATAT